TACAGAAAATGTCCAAAAGCATTTTGTACCAGAGATGCGAGTGCAAAGAAAATTTCAAACTGCGTCGTTTTTGTACAACCAAAAGGAGCTTGAGCGTTTGTTTTTGTGTTTCGGATATATGAAACAATTAAAGTGGAGGCTTGAAACAATCAAAATACATGAATGTAATAAAATAAAGAAAATATTTTTGGGAGGTTTTTAACTGAGGATGGTTGCATAAACTTTGGTTGTTACTTTTACAAAAATCCATCCAACACTGAAATAAAAAAATCAGGGATGGCAGTCCTTTTGTATGTTTTATTTGGGACTGAGGACACGGGTATAATCAAAAGCATAATAATAACATTTTACATCCACCTGCATCTTTTCAAGCAGTATGTTTTGCAAGTCTGATCAATTTTTTTATGTGCTTTGCTTTTGTCTTTTACCTTTGTGTGAAACTAATCAACAAACTGAACAAAACTTTCATCCCAAAGCGTTCTCTTTTTTCTAAGACTGTAATTAAGTTTGCGACATTGACACTGTGAGGAAAAAAAACATACATACTCTGCTGCGCTTGAATATTTAAAGCTGTAATTTTCCCATATGTAAAGTAGTAAAACCTGCAGGACTGCGGCTCTCGAGGTCTAGTGATGAAAACTCCTGCTGTGCAATTTAACCTTGACAACAATCCCAAAAATCTATATCTGATTTTTTTTTTAAAGGTTTTGTTCAAAATGGATCTATACTTAGATATAATTTAAAATGACCAGGATGAATCCGTTTGATATGGTACAGCATGTACAAACCGCACTGTAAGCCCTCCCCAACCTGGGATTTCGAGGAGGCCGCGTGTGTGAAGGTTTTTACATATGTGTGTGATGTGTATATAGTTAGTCATGATTCCTAAACAGTGTAACGCGGGAAAGGTCAGCAAGACAAATTCCCAGACTGTTAAAGAGTCTGAAGGGGTGTTCAGGGAAACACAGTCATTTCGTTCCCTTCGTCTACATGCGTGTGCGTCACACACACACACGGACCCACACACTCATGTAAAAGCAACACAGCACTGATTTATGAGCTCTCCGGAGCCCTGATAAAACTCATCCTGAGTGAGCTCATAAATGTTGCAGAAAGATGGAGCGGAGACTATGACTGGTGACTGCGTGTACTGTAATTTGTGTGTTTTGACATGAAAATTGGCAAGTGTGCGTTTCTTTTGCAACGCTGCTGGTTGATTAGAAATGACACTGGTTATCATCACAGCAGAAAATGGTGTTTTACTGCTGACATGTTTGCTTTGCTGTGCCTCCTCTTCTACTAACATTTATCTGTTATTTCCTGTTTGTCTTTGTGGGTTTTGTGGTTCATGTCCAGCTTACTTTTTTGTGCAATATTTTTGTTTGAATTATCACGTTTAATTGAGTTGTCAAACTTTAAAAATGAACTATAGGGTCAGTTTTAATCAAACTCTGGTTTATTTGCCTGGAAAGTCTAGTTTTTGTACTTATTTGAGAAGAAATGTGTTGAAGTAATGCTACTCTTACATTTTTGGGGGGGATCTTCCCACCTCTTCAGTTTGCCACAAGCCATGCTGGATTCAGATACACAGCAAATCTAAAGTGCTCTTGTAACTTTTTGCCCTGCATGCAAAGTTTTGCATGCATCACCCTCAACACGCTATACCCATGGTGGTGGCGGCATTATGCTGTGGGAATGTTTTTTCTTCATCATTGACTTGTTAAAACAAACGCACCCAACACTTTTTAGATTTGTATTTTTGAAAACCATTTTGAAACCCAATATTTACATACAACTTTCCAAAATGTGAAAAAGAAGGTTAAGAACAATTTAACCTTTGAACATTAAAACTACTTTTAGGTAAACTTGAAAAGAGTGAACCAACATTGGTGCTATTTTTAGCTCACAAGGCACGACAAATGTAGGAGTTGTTCAGCGCTCTGCACACCTACCTTCCTTCTGGTTGCTTTCCAAAAAAAGAAATCATTTACATTCTGTTGGTGAGGCTGCAGTAATTTGCCCACAATAACCAACATGTTAAATAGACAGGAAGTCACCGCAAAAACAAGAACCAATGTGTTCCCCCTGCAGGCAAAGTGGTTAACAGAGTTTGGATGATATAATTAATCACATTTAAACCTGACAAAAAGAATCGTGCACCACAGCAGAGAAAAATACACTCATCCAAACTGAACTTGAAGGTCATTTGGTGAAAAGCAACGCAGAACTGATATTCGCTGGGATGGCAGAAGGTAACATCTGAGAGTAGACATGAACATGAATAAATGTTCTCCAAAATATTTTAAAACTGAACGAAATTAAGAGACTTCTGCCAAAGCCAAACTCCAACAGACTTCCCCCAATGACTAGTTGGCAGCAACTTTTTAACACATTTGTAAAATTGATAAAAAATGGACATTAATAATGATGGCAGTTAAAAACGAATACAAAACATAGCACGTTTACTCGTGAAACACTGTACACTATCAAATTTGCCCAAGACATATGTTAGAATATAATATTTGTAAAGAAAACAGAGAGCTGATTCTAATAACATACCGCAGTTACAAAAAGGGGGAGGAGCTGTCAGTTACCGGTTACTATGGTAACCACCAACTGTCAAACGCAGCAGCAGAACTTAAAACGCCAATAAATGTCTCCTATTTACCTATTGGCTAAGTTTTATTTAAAAGGCACAGCTTGGCCTCTGGCAGCCAACATTTGAACTGCAATTACACTTAAATTATTGTTATTATTATTATTTGACTCTTAACATTTTTCTCTCACCTGATTTGTTACTTCTTTCTGTCTCTTTTGTTTGGATTGAATTGCGAAGGCTTCTGCTCCCTCCTCTTGGAAATTCTTACAAGAAACATTCACTGAATTTATCTCATTTAGGGCGTTTAAATCCAAACTAAAAGGTCTTGAGGCAGATCCAATGACATGTACTTGTTTTTTATGGCTTGACATTTTCTTTTAACTGTGTATTTTTGGGGGGGCAATAGGACTCCCTTGAGAAGAGGTATTTAATCTCAGTCGGTTTTTATCCTGGTAAAATAAAGGTTAAATAAGTAAAAAATAATTTGATGATTTGGAACATTCAAGTGTGACTAAACCGCAAACGAAGAAATTTGTAAGGGAGCCAAAACCTTTTCGCTCCACTTTATCTGTTTTAGTCAACTTTTTGAAGGTCAACGTAGATTTCTATACATGATACTTTATTTCTTCTGAAAATGTTCCACCTTTGTCAACTGCTGTGGTTTGAAAGAGTCAAAATATCTGACTTAAAATTACACACCAACAGTATTGGTGTTCAGTATTGCTATATGTCACACTGACTTGTGTTTTTGTTTGACCTGTTTCCAGCGCAGCCGACTCAACAGCAGCAGACTGAGCGGAGCTGCAGATTGTGACGTCTGCTTGCAATCAGCAGCTTTAATAAATCTCCCTCTGCGTTCCCATGAGCGGCCGCAGATTACATGCTGCGCCGCTGTTTGAGAGCTAATGATGCCGTCTTTCCAGAATTTAGGCAAAAGAAAAATATGGTCTCGTCTTGATGGACGGGCTCTGTTACGGAGCTGGCGAATGCCTGAGTGTGTGCGGCTGATTGCTGAGTGTTCAGCTCCAGGGCCTGGACGAGGGAAAGGGTGATGTAATGCCATAGCAGGGGCTTTCTGCCAGCCAAGGAGCTGATGTGGCAACGCTTTGATTCAGCAGACATTGTGTGTGTTGGGGTGTGTGTGCGTGTGTGTGTATGCGTGCATGCGTGCGTGCGTGTGCGTGTGTGTGTGTGCTCAGGCTGCAGAGAAAGAACAATTGATGGATATGACTTAGATGGATTTTGGCTCAGTGTTGGTGAGTGACATCATTGTGTTGCGCAACAACCAGCTATCAGTGTGTTATGAACTGATTGAGCGGTTTCTTTTCCTGGAAAAGGTGCAGAATTTGGACTCGGTGTCCAGGCTGTTTATTCTTTTCTCAAGTACTTCCAGAAGACCAATGAAGAAATTCACAAATCTGGTTGTTTGTTTTTTAACAAAAAAAAAAAAAAAATGCTTTGTGCTGTAGTCTGCCTATCTGTTTTTATGCTTTCACTTCATCGACAGCCAGTTTATTTCCCAGAGTTCCCCTCAGGTCTTGAGGTCACGTCCTTCCAGCATCCTCTCTGATGTTGACTTTAGAGGCCTGCTCACTTCCAGCCCTATCTAATCCTGATGACATCCCACAGAGGACACCGTGTCCAGTCTCTCCCTCTGCTCACTACACTTCATGCTGTATCTTTTTGAGAGAGAGGTTCTGTAAGAGCATCACTACACTTACTTGAGTAAAACTTCAGGACGATAGAAATGTGCAATACAGCATATTTTGGTATCGATCTGATACCCAGTAAATACCGCACCAATTCTTTTTAATCAAGTTTGACATATCATCAAACTTCTGACCTTTTGGTGTTTTATGGTGTTTCTATTAAAATGTTTTGTTAAAACAAAGGACAGAATATGGCCAAAGTTTATAATTGGGAGTATTCCTCAGTCGTTTGGTGCATTTCTCAAATCATTCTTGGCTATTCCAAAACAGTAAGTGCTTTTCAGTTCATACAAACAGCATCAAACCTGCAAAATCTACTTTCTAAAAATCCTTCGTCCATCTCTGAACTGAACTGATTGAGCTGTTTCTTTTCCTGGAAAAGGTGCAGAATTTGGACTCGGTGTCCAGACTGTGTTAATTCTTTTCTGAAGTACTTCCAGAAGAAGTACCTGATACAAACAGCATCAAACCTGCAAAATCCTGATAATAGATGGATTCATGACCATAACTGAAACCAAGGAATGTGTGAAAATTGTCAGAGTGAGGACATTATGTTTGGAACGCTGAACATGGCTACCTGTGCATGATGAAATGTCCACCAAGCCCAAATTTAATGACAACAGTTTCCAATTTGAGTTCATAAAAAAAAGATTTGTGCTGAAATGATCCAATGTGGAGAAGGAAATCAAAAGAAATGCTATCCAAGTGTAGCAAGTGCAACCTCACGGGGTAAACATGTTGTATCAAAGCTTTTAGTTAGTTTGACATCATGAAATTTGTACAAAACAGATGTAAACTTTATTTATATCATACCAACAGCAGAGGGCGCCGTTATCCATGATTTGGTCGCAAGCTTCCGATGTACATTCTTATAAAACATTAAACAAAAAGACATCAAGAATTTATCCTCTTGGTAATTTGTTGATTTTGATAATAAAGTGTGACAACATGTTTTATTCTCTCCACCCAAACAACCCTGTTATGTTTATTGTTTATTTTAGTCTTTGCGCATTACAGTGAAAGAACAGCAGGACTGGCGTTGGAGGCATAAAGAAAAGAAAATGAGAAGCATAACCATAAAAAATATATATTACACAACTACTACTTCCACTTTCATATGTTATATCTAGACAAAATAGTTTTACTATTTATCTATCTATTGTAATGTTTAAGTTTCTACAGCGCCGCTCTGCTGCAGAAACACAAGCCGGTGGAGCCCTCCGAGAAGCTCCTGGAGAACATCTGTTCTCGTCACGATGAGGTGATGAAGGTCTTTTGTTGCACCGATCAGCAGTGCATCTGCATCTTGTGCACCATGGATGAACACAAATGATCCGAATATATTTATTGCAACAAAGACTTTTTTATTTCAAAAGTTTTTTTTATTAAGTGAATTATAATTTCTTTGTTTTTTGTATTTTTTTTTATTTCATTCCAGTCCTGGGTTGCCTTTTTTAATCATGTTTACATCCGCTCTTGTCAGGAGAGAACATCCAACAGGTTCAAAACAAGTCAAGTTTGGAAAATAAAGTGCAATTCAGTAACAGTAAATATTGTGCTAGTATCAGTATTGGACCAAAGAAAGCAAGGCAAGTTGCAAGCCTTTATAATTGAAAATGACACTTTTTATCGGTCAAATAGACTCAAAAAATTGTTACATAGGGCTTAAAGTTAAAAAAAAAAAATCCTGAGCCTAAAACTTATAGAGGTGATAGAAATGAACTATATCGATGCTATTGCCACAGTTTAATAAAGTGTCTTTGAATAGTGCAAACAATTGCTTCTTACAATACAATTAACAAGCTAAACACTCAAACTCAAATAAGACTTCAGTGCATTTCAACTCGAAACAAAATGTAAAATGTCTGTGCCCTAAAGGTTTGCCTTACAGGCAAAAATCCCTCAACATTAAATAAGAGTCCTTTCAGTCAATGTTTTTGCAAGTAATTTAGAACATGCAACATTACCAACTAAATGAATAAGTGACACAAATCTGGCTTAATCAAATCCTAATGAGTTAAATTGAAAGTGTCAAGGAGTTATCGGCCTCATGACATTAACGTTGACATGAAAAATAATATTGAAGAAATAAATACATCAAATCTAATTAAAACATAAATAAGTGATAAGTTCTTTACTGTTATGGTCTGTAAGATATATTTATTCTCAGCATCAGATGTGGTCTCAACAAACCCATGGCACTTCATCAATATTATTTTACCTTTTATCTGGAAATAGTATCCGTTTATTCTTGCCATATTGATCGAAAGGTCTTGCCATACCAGTTTATTCCTCTCTATTTACTTTAGTTTCCAAGTTTATTCTTGCATTTTGTTCTTCATTCATTTCCATTTAGTTTCCTTTCATTAGTATTGTCCTCCTGGTTTATTGCTATGTCCACTTTAGTTTCTTTCATGTTGTTAGATTTATTTTATCGTTTATTGACCATCAGTAATCTTCACTCATCACCTGCTGCGCCGCCTAATCGTCATGTTTCACATCATGTGTTGATTTTTCACTGTTCAGCGTCGGATTTATGCCATAATTCACATCTAGTTCGTCGCTCCGTTTTATGTCCCGCTTCTCCTGTTTCAGAGTTTTGTGCAATGTGCGGGTTGAGTTTTTTTTGTTTTTTAACCCCCTATGGTGCGCAGCGGTCGGG